GATTACGCCTTCAGAGACCTCTGACCGTGGTGACTACTACAATCCATCGCGTCGTGATCAACGCTGGAGGGATTGGGAAGAGACTCCATTTGAGGAGCCTGATGGTTCACCACATGTTGAGGCCCCAGAAGGCTATGCGGCTGTTCCTCAGACCTCGGAAGCAGGTGATGATCATGCACCAGCACCTCATTCCCCGGCGGGATCGCCAAACCGGACTCGGCAATTGATGATGAGCCCAATGAAGAACTCCGGAAGCAATGGAACATCCAGTTGCTCAAGTACCACAAGGCAGCTGGACATCCAAACAACTACAACTTGGCGCGCATCATCCGTGAAGCTGGCCAACCTAGATGGAAAGTGGAAGCCGCTCTTCAGCTTCCATGTCATGATTGCAAGGCTTTGAAAATGGGTGGCACTTCCAGCGGAAAGATTCCGCCAGCTTCGTTGAGGCCATTGCCAAAGGCCTGGAAAATGGTTGGTCTCGACACCACTGAGTGGACTCCACCAAGCAGCGAAGTCAAACACAAGATCTTGGTCCTGATGGACTTTGCCACACACTACAAGGCCGCCAAGATCCTTCGCACTATGGATCTCTACAAGCAGGAGAATGAGAACACCACTGAGATCCTCAAAGGCATCTTCGATTTGTGGCTTTCCTCAAAGCCAAAGATGACCATCTTGGTGCCTGACAATGCCAAGTCAATGGTCAGTGCACAAGCTCGAACGACTCTCTCCGACCTCAACATCCAGATAGAAGTACCACCAGCAAAAGAAAGCTGGAGTCATGGCTTGATGGAAAGAGCCGTTCAGGAAGTCAAGACAGTTGCCTCCAAGACCACCTTGTCCTTTCCAGCCCTCTCAGCCAACGCCATTTTGGCCCTCTCCATTCCGTCGCTCAATGCCACTGAGATCGTGCAAGGCTATACTCCTCACCAATGGGTGTATGGGAAGCAGTTCAGCTTCTCTGATGAGGATGAGCACTCCATGCAACAGATCTTACCTGATGTACCTGGCCATGACTTCATCTCCCTCTTGGCCAACCGCCAACAAGCTGAAGAGATTGCGAGAAAGGCGAGATCGCAACTTGTGTTGGGCAAGCTCAGAAACTCCAAAGTCAGGCAACCACTCCAGGTCTTCCAGCCCATGGACTTGGTGAAGATTTGGCGCCGCTACTCCGCCGACGGTGGCGCCCGAGGTGGCCTTCGACAATTTAGTCATCCTCAATGGCTTGGACCTGGCCGTGTGGTCTTCCATGAATTCATGGACAAAGGCCTGAAGAAGAAAGGAGACACATCGTGTGGGTCATCGTGGCCGGGGCTATGCACCGTTGTTCAGTGCACTCAGTCCGCAAGAACGCCTGGACTATGAGATCGCCAATCCAGAGGATCCCTCAAACTGGCGCTCCCTTGCAGACATGGTGCCCAAGAGATCCTACATAGACCTCTTGCCAGAAGAACCCACTGAAGAAGATGTGGAACCACCTCCACTACCTGATGAGCCAGACTCAACGACTCAGGAAGCACCCCGTCTTCCTGAGAAAAGGCATCGCCAGAAGAGTCCTTGGGAACCACTACATCCTCTTCCTGCCGCAGTACCTCCTGTTGGTTGTGATGAGTACACTCCATCGGAGCCACCTCTCAACGAAAATGATGAACAACCGGCCTTCATCTCTGTGGATGATCAAGAAAAGGTGAATGGAACTGGAACTGGGGTCGGCAGTGGCTTCCCGACTCTACGTGATCGAGCCTCCAGCCATACAGAACATCATCGAGACCGAAGATGTCGTCTACCGGACCCGCTTGTTGTGTGCATGGCACCGGCAACCTCTTCCAGAGCCGGGACCTGTTGAGCAATGCTGATGCTCAGGTGAAGCTGGTTCCAGGAGTCTTGGGAACAGACTCGAAGGGCGGATTCGATTCCGTCATGGTGAACGAGTCGCCGTTGCTTGGCTTGTCGATCATGCGTGCTGCAATTCAAGCATACCAGTTGAAACAGGCGTATTGATTTTGCCTCACCCGCTTGATCTGGTTAGGCTCAGACTGGAACTTAGGTGACGCTCTCACCAAAAAGAAAGGTGATTGTCGCCAGAGCTTGATGTTTTTCCTGCGGCATCGCACATGGCAGTTGAAATACGACCCCAACTTTGTCGTATCTGCCAAGAGGTTGAAGCAGGCCACTCGGACGACACCGTCCCAACAGCTTGAAGGCAGGATCACGATCGTGAGTTCATGGCCCAGGTTCGATCTTCATGCCATGACTTGGCCCAACTCGTAGTGGCCCCTTTAGCCATCCGACGGCTGCCATGGAGTGAAAAGGAGCGATAGAGTTCGCTACCAGTGCATACCAACTGCAGATTCCTTGTTTTGACCAGCCCAAAAACTGTCCAGGGTAACCATCCTTTGGCCGGTCCATCAAATGATCATGCATTACCCCAGACTCCAGACGTAGCCAGAAGTTGTTTTATTACGGATTCCTGTGACACACTTAGTCACTTAGTGACAGGGTTTGTTGCAGTTTCCTTACTCCACAGTGAAATGGATGAGGGAACGGAAAGGCGCAAAGTCGGCTCAACTGAAATGTTGAACAATGTTGACGCGTTAGCACTTTACTGAATACTTAGCAGATAAAAAGGGAAAGGTTTAGGGGAATAGCATGGGAACCGCCATGAGAAGCAAACTGAAAGGAGAACAGCTTGTGCAACAGTTCAGCAGGTACGTTTGCAGCCCTTCCCAGTGGCCTTTTCGTTGGCCATCCGCCACTGGGGAGGGGGATGGCCCCCTGCTTTTGCAAAAACCAAGAACTCTTAGAAACAGAGCGTGGGCGTGGCACACACAAAACGCCGAGTATCGGCGCTCGCAGCAAAACGGGTCGCTGTGCCTTTCAAAAAATGGTTGCACTCTGCTGTGGAGTGCCCTTTGGCAATGAACCTGACTAGGTACCTAAAAAGCCTTAGAAAAGAAAGAAGGACAGAAAGAGCAAAACGGAAAAGGCAAGAAAGAAAGAAAGGAGTAGCGAAAAAGTGACTACTTAGCACTTGACTACTTGGCCCTTGACTGAAAAGAAGAACCTCATTACAGACCTAAAAAGCCTCTAGCAGAAAGGCAAACCTAGAAAGAGAAACGAACAGGCAAGAGAGAAAGAATTAAACAAAACCCGAGGGGCAGGGAAACGAGCCTCAAGAACCACCTAACGAGCCTGAAAGAAAACCAAGAAAGCGAAGAAAGCGTATACGAGAGAAAAAGCGGGGGGGGCAGGAAGGGTGTGTTTGTGTCCATGTGTGTGTACACGTGTGTGTGTGTGTGTCTAGTTACTGAATATATACTTAGCAGGCAGCCATTAATTACGTGCAATAGTTAGAGAGCGGGACTTTAGTCTTAGACCGCAGGGACAAGGAAAGGCACCGACACACAAGTGTGTCGAGTACCATTTCCTTCTGTTACCCTAATTTGAGGGGAGGGGGCGGGGGTTGGGCTTCATTCTCCGTAGGCCCCGCGGCATTTGGTCCGTGAGCCCGGCGGCATATGGTTCAGTTGATTCATGGGTGAAACAAAACAAACTAAACCATAATCCACGAACTCAAGACGCTGAGCCAATTTGTGATTTCACGATGGCTTCGGCGCCTCTCTTGCGAGAAGATCACACTGTGTACCCAGTGGGAAGACACAGCGATACACAGTCACAGGGTTTGTTGCAGTTTCCAAAGCCCACAGTGAAATGAATGAGGGAACGGAAAGGCGCAAAGTCGGCTTAACTGAAATGTTGAACAATGTTGACGCGTTAGCACTTTACTGAATACTTAGCAGATAAAAAGGGAAAGGTTTAGGGGAATAGCATGAGAACCACCATGAGAAGCAAACCGAAAGGAGAACAGCTTGTGCAACAGGTCAGCAGGTACGTTTGCAGCCCTCCCCAGTGGCCTTTTCGTTGGCCATCCGCCACTGGGGAGGGGGATGGCCCCCTGCTTTTGCAAAAACCAAGAACTCTTAGAAACAGAGCGTGACACGCACACAATATGCCTTGCCTCGAAGCACTATCACCGGCGGAACTGGCCTAAGCCTGAAACAACCTAATCACATGAGGCCAGGGAGGCATCTCTCCAACTCATGGACCTGAGGCGATCATGTCATCATGTCATTTGAAAACACTGCTGGCAACCCACGAAAAGGTATGTGACGCTGTGGTTGGGAAATTTTGATTAAAATTTCAAGAAAAAGACCCGCAACTTAGCAGTTTAGCATACATGGATGCATATTCTTTGATATTGCTTGTAATTTTATGTTTTAAGAATACATCCACATCCAACAGGTTCATTGATCTTTCTTTTTCTGGGGCCCCACCGTCGGCGCCCCACCCCGGTTTCGGCACCCCGCGGAACCTGCAGGAGCGCTTGGCGGACCGCTTTACCGTGAAAGCACGTCGCTGGACGCCAGTGGGACCGATGTGGGGAACGTGGCGCCCGTGAATAGAACCTAAGAACCCCATTCGTCGTGTTTCTCTCACGCTCCTAGTAATGAGAATCCACTGATTTGGAGGCCGTACTGAACTGAAACCGTGTGGGAGGCGGGAGGCGTGGAAATCCGGGACTTGGGGTGAAATGGGGTGGAAGTCGATGACGGCAAATGGAGCGAATGCCGAGGCGTTGGCTTTTACTGCCTCCTCAACTACAACGGTGGCGCTTTCAGCTTCGTGCGCCGTGAATATGCAGGCAGATCCGGTTTCAGAGGGTCGAAACCGAGCGAGACCGGTGGATTGAGGTTTGTGGAAGCTTGGAGATCCAAACTGACTGTATGGTTCGTGTTGTGTGTGCCTGCGGTGTTTGTGTGTGTGTGCTTAGAAAAGAGCTGGGGACTGTGGTAGTACACTAACATCATAGAAGACAATCAGATAGTAGGAGAAGATAGCAGTACAATAGGAATATTTAGATAGGTCCCCTGTTCTGTTCTTTTTTGTGGTGGACCTTGATGGGGTGAAGGGATGATGGAGGGAGGCTGTAGTGGCACCAGCACCAGCAGTTCAAAAACGGTGCCACCCTTGGAGGGTATAGGGGTGCCCTATGGTGCCCTTTTCACATCCACTCACTTAGGGACTAAAAACAATTCCTTTGGAACTGCTGGTGTGTGGATTTGTTCACAGTTTTTGGATGTGTTTGGAATGTCTCGTGCAGTGTTGGATTGGATTGATTTGCCCAGAACTTTCCGGGACCGCTTGATCTTCCAATATGCAGAAACTATTTTTTGCATGACAAGTATGGGATACGTGATGTTTGAGTCATTCCGAGCAGTCTTGTTATCACAATTTTTCACATTTGGATCAGTGTCATGCAATCATGCTAGAACTCGGTGATGGGACACCCTTTTGGAGGACAACCCTTGTCTACCTCCAACAGTTTTGTTAGCTCAACAGTTTTAATTGCTTGTCCACACAGTTTCGGAGGCTTGAGTGTTGCACAGTGTAGCAGGATCTACTTTTGCCTATTCTTTGAGAGCTGCCCCAAAATCCAGCTCAATAAAGACTGGAAGACGATCAGACCCGGACACGGTCCGCTCGTTGCGCCAGTTTTCGTCGCTGCCAGGACGCATTAAGGTCATCCTGAACACCTGGAGCATCGTCCAAAAGAGTGACATCGCCCAAACCGCCATGGAGGAGCCATGCAGCAGAAGGGTTGAAGGGCTTTGTGTCAGCAAAGTTCCAGGGCTCACATGCGCCACATGCTGTTTTGTGAGTCTAGTATAACTCCCTTCTCTATAATCCCATGTCTATGTTGACCATGGCCCATGTCTTCTGACCTGTGAGCGAGGTGTTTGGCGTCGAACGCCGAGACCAGTACCGTGGACTGGTTGGATGACCCAGCAAGTAAAAGGATTACGCTGTTCCCTTGCACCGTTGGATATCATTGGTGTCCAACTGCATTAGGGTGTTTTTGCTGATTCATCACTATTTATAAATATACTTATACAGTAAATAAATATATATATACATACACATATCAAGCACCTGAGGATTCCCACGCCAGTCACACAGTGACGGTGACATCGCACATTTGGGAGTGGCGGGCTGTTCCGCTCTTCACACCGAGCGAGCTTAGCCTTCAATTCAATTGTCAATGGGTGAAGTAGGCCTATAGCCTATCGGCTTCAAACGATAGGTGTCCATGGGCTAGGGATAAAGATGGGGGGTATGAATCAAGTGATGGATGATCAAGTGGTCCCGTTGTTGTAGATTCAACTCCCTTAGTCCAACATCTTCAAACCATTTCTTTTCCGTTTCGGGTTCGGCGGAGTTGGTCTACGAAAACGGTCATGATCTGAGAGGCACTCAGCCCACCGGCTGCTTGGGCTTTCCAGGAGATGCCGGAGGAAGGTGAAGGTGAGGAGGGCGAAGGCAACGAAGTGAAGGAAGACCTGAAGGCCGGGAGGGCGTGGCGGAAACTGCGACCCCCATGATCGGTTGAGGTGGGTGAAGCGGTGGATTATATATCGACATAATGAAATACATAGCCACCGCAACAGGAGCACCAGGAGTACAGTAGCGGGTTGTGCCATCCACCCCGAGATGGAAGAGAAAGTCAACATCCACGGGACTTTGGTGTTCGCCCCCACATGACTCCAATCTCCAATAGGTGTTGGTGAAGCCCAGCTCTTCAACACCTTGCTTGCGAGTTCCCCGATCAAGGCATGCACATCAAAAAACAACATGTACCCTCCGCTAGTTGATATTAATCAAGGGGGGGGGTCTGCTCAATTAATTTTTCCCAATTAATTAAGAAATCACCCGAGAAAGTCGATGAAATTCATGCTCGGGGAAGATGTTGGATAAAGAAAATTAATTGGGATTTTCCCTGGCATTCCCCGGCTGTGCCTTGGATCAAGCTAGGGCAAGGTCTGTGGAAAAATAATCAAGAGGGTCTAGAGATGCTTCAGACCCGTCAATTAATAATCAAGATGAACTAGTTGATCGCACATATATTCCCGTAGAGTTGCAGAATCATAAAGAAAATTAAAGACTACAAAAGGAATCTCATGTCATTTTTCAAGAAACTTGATTTTAGGGTACGCCATGACGGACGCACCCCTCCAAAACTTGAGGGGGGGTTAGCCTCTGGGAGAGGGGTCGATTAATTTAGTGGGCAGGCATATTCCTGGGGAAGTGCAGGGACAAAGCAAAAACCTATGAAGGCCAACAACAAAAAGTACTAGAACACCCTGGAACACTAGATCCATTTGCAAAAACCACCAAAAGCCAGACAGAATATAGCCACCACACACAAAACCACCAAGTGGAAATTAATTAAGGGGGGGTTAGCCTTTGGGAGAGGGGTTGATTAATTTAGTGGGCAGGCATATTCCTGGGAAAGTGCAGGGGGAAAGCAAAAACCCATGACAACCAACAACAAAAAGTACTAGAACACACTGGAACACTAGACCCATTTGCAAAAACCATCAAAAACCAGGCAGAACAGTAGCCACCACACTAAAAACCTCATATTCATTGTCGTTCAGACTTCTTTAATCTTCTTTATACAGTTTTGTTATGTTTTGTTGAGTTGGCTTTGTTAGGTTAGCTTTGTGCAGCGTCCAGTAGCCGTTCATTAGAATTCTCTAGAATGTCCAGCTGACGGGGCGCTGACATCATGAGACCAGAATAGACAGAAACCAGATCTTTGAGGAGAAAATATTGCGGAAGTTGCCAGAATTGTTTTCAAGGGTTGCCAGAGTTTCAAGGACCAACAGTAAAAATTAATCGAGGGGTTGCCAAGGGGCTCTTTACTTGTCAATTTATTTTGGAAAGGGCCAACCAGCAAAAATTAATTGAGGGGTGGTCAAGAGGCTCTTTCTTGGGGGGGGTCCCAAGCAAAGCCTATAGAAAATTAATCATGGGTCTTCTTAATTCCAATTAATTTTTTTTTGAAATTTTTACAGACCCCCTCAATTATGTGGTTATTATTAATTGAGGGGGGCCCCCACTTGGGGCCCATCTAGTGTAGGGGTCATTAAAAAACAGGATCATTCACAAGGAACGGGATCAAACAGAACTTGAAACACATATGACTTTTGCTTGTGTTGATGCCGATCTTCGTTTTTGATCCCTCACCCCCAAATCAACGACCCCGGAAGGTGAAGGTCTTGAACTAAGATGGACAGAGCAGCCATGGGCAGCCTTGCGATAGCTTTGTAATACCCAGACTCAACCACTTCCTGTGCCATATACGCCTACATTGGGGTGGTTTGGGGGGTCAATGTAGGCATATATGGCATACATGAAGTGTTTGGGATATGTTTTTGGAAAGCAACTATAGACTATAGGTTTGTTACTATCAGAACCCATGTTCTTCGGGATGGTTCTTCTGGACACCCCTTATAGAACCTCAAACTTTTGGGCGTTTGACACAGAAAATGGCCGACCGCCCTTGGCATCGCAGGAGTCGACTCCGGTGAAGGGCGGCAAGGGCGGCCCGGGCAGTGCGGGCAGCGCGGGCAGTCAGGAGATGTCCCCCCAATCCATGGACGCTCGGACTTCCGTGAACCAGCATGTCGGCTCTCAGCATGGCGGGAATTTTTGTTTGATTTGAATCTCCACAGAACCCCTTTCCGTTTCTTTTCTGGTTGATATCATTTTATGTCAACATCGTTAAGAGCATGTATGTCCAGGGATTTTGATGGTTGACCTATTGTTTGTATTCTATCCAGGTGTCCCATCAGCCAACCATTCCAAGGACAGTGCTGACGTTGTACCCATCGGCAAGGAGAGCTCGGCGTAAACCTTGGCTCACAGCGAAGCGCAAACCACAGATCTCCAACCAATGGTATGGTTGGTTGGGCTTTTGGTATGGTTGGTTGGTAACTCTTAATTTGGGTGTGCTTGGTTGGGGGTGCAAGTTGTTTTTGTTCTTTTGCGGGGGGGTTGAGCCAGTCTGTTCCGCCTATGCCCAGTTGTTTGAATGTTGTTTGAGTGCGCCTGATTTGACGCTTTGGTTGTTCAGCATGGTTGATCATTTGTGTGCAGGAAATGAAAGTCCCCACGACCTTCAACGAGATGCTCCTCTTCAATGCCTCTGTCATGGGCTCCATGGCACTGAAGATGAGGAGCCAGAAATGGTGCTCACCACCGAAAAGGAGCTCGCACCCCCCCAAAAGGGCTCTTATTTGGCATTTCCAGGGGACTCAGGTGATTCGTGTTGTGGAACATTCAAGGAAACTGCGAAGCACGTTCCCGGGAACATAGACATAGAGGTCAAACGGTCGTCCAAACGGCTGTGGCTTTGCCTGGCAAAGCACCGCGCTTGACCACCTGGCGCAAGAAGCCACGCAAAGACGCGCGCAAGCTTGCGCGCGTGAGGCTATGGCTCCAGTACCTGGATGAACATCGTTTTGCAGCAGTTCGATGATATGGTGCGTTCTCCGCCGTTTTCGGGTTCTCGTTCTCAGCGGATTCGGGCAGCGACGGCTTCGGAAGTAGAAGTCTTCCATTTTCCACGCAGCATGCAGAACGGTTGATTTTTTGTTGGCGTCCGACCACGTGCTGGCTCCTAAAGTGACCCTCACTCACAAAGTGTATTGGACACGGTTCTATTTAGCATGGACCCTTGCGCAATGTTCATGTCATGTTCTTGATCGAACTCATGGCAACTCGCTGGTGTCAGCCTGACACCAGTACCGCGCAGGTGAAAAACGTTGCCAACTTCGGACGGCTTCAAGAAGAATGTGACCCGCCCAGATGGCCTGTGACATGGGCGAAGGGAGACATTTTTGGAAGAGTTACAGTCGTATACGCAAAACAGAGCAAACCCTAGTTATATAAACATTATAAACCCCCAAATAGATAGAACAAGTAGATTCCCACTAAAAATTGTATTGGAAACCGTTTCTATCTATTTGGGGACCACTATACTGATTGGGTTGGTTTTACACACCGCTGGATTTCGAAGCCCCAACAACAGACTTCTTGGCTCCATGGTGTTAAAAAGGTAACCCTTCTTCAAACAGGTGGACCCTCTCCACCATCGTTCTTTTCCCCAAGATTGAAAGAATTGCAAGACTGCTGCTACGGCCTGCATGAACAGAGCAAGGTATGGGCCATATTAGTGGAAGAATATCAGGCTTTGAAGTGCTCATTTGACCTACAGATCAAGCGGATGTTTTGCCAAAAGTGTTTAACACACAACCCCCTGCCCAACCCCTTGAGAATGAAACCTTTGGCGGGACTCCCATTTTACTTATGGCATCCTATGGCCCTGGAGAGGGCTCCACTCCTGCTCCAAGCGACCGGTGGGCCGCAGGTGATGTGATGTCACTGGTGCTGGCAGCTGGGCAAGGGAGTCGATCGGTCGGACCTGCGGCGTGCGGTTGGTGGCCTAGGCGGCCTAACCCAAAGAAAAAACAAACCTATATAGGCCTATACATTGCATGCAGGGGAAGATGAATCGGCGAGACATTCCACCATGTGACCCTGTGACAATGTTGGGTTTGAAAGCAGCCAAAGGGTCCCGAGTAGCCCCTGGCCTGCAGATATGTTCTCTTGCATGTGCATCACCAGTGGTCAAGACAGATTGTAATCTAGTAGGGCGCCTATGAATTGGAGGGCACGTGTTTCGCACCCAAAGCATCCCAAAGCCTTGCTTCGGCAATCCGCAGCTCTTTTGCGCCTCAGGCCAAGTATAAGGGAAAGATTAATCTTCCAGAGTTCAAAGCAGTGACTTTGGCCTCCTTGCGCTCCCTTCTGCCGGCGGAATGGGACTCCGAGCATGAGGTGTTTGGGGGCGGGGCTCCGGAGAGTTGTCATCGTCGGTTCAGAAAGGACTCCACACAAATGAGGAACTTATGAGTTGGCTCATGAGTTTGCGGTGCTGGATGGCGCTGGCTTTCTCACATCATATCTCATGATATCATATGGACTCGTTTGGCCACAAATGGTTTTCCAAAGAGTGGGAGGTTTGGCTGGAAGTTGTTTGTCAATTTGATGGATTCCTTTTGCTCCAGCATATAGGCAGCCCACAGTGGACTGTTCACCTGGCTATGCAGGACTTGGCATTCCATACATTCCCTGTGATCGTGAAGTTCCAGTTTTTAAGCGGGCCTGTGTCCCAGGTACACTGTGACTATAGCTGGTGAATGTGGGTTACATTATTCTGTGTATATCTTGGGCAAGCGGATCCAACGCCATGATTGCCGCACGTGGTACGTTCGACCAGGTGGCTTGGGCCTGGCTTTGGGAGAACATCGAGGGCTTGTTGAGTGCAATGCTGGGGAAACCCAAGCTGCAGGAAGAGGCGCTGGAGCAGTACTTTGCGCCGCTCGACAGACCAATCCCGAGCCACTCGAGAGCTAGGTGAGAGTGGAGAACCTGAGAATCCCCATTGGTTCTGGAGTGAAGTGTTACGTATGCAAGGATTGACCAGGAATAGATGAGGGCTGCGAGGTTTGAGGTATGGACCGTGGGTCACATGCAGATTGCTGCACACAGATTTTTTACGCTTAACTTCCATGGGCCCTCTGACATGCTCCTGGTTTGCCTTTGAATTGCCCAAAAGCCGTTGAAACTGGTCGAACGGCAGCGTTGAAGCCTTGAACTGTGGTCTCCCCGCTGGTGGTCGATTGCAGCTCCTATCAAACCATAAACCCACGGAACCGACATCGTGGAATATCTACTTTGAATATCTACCCCAGAGGCTCCATGTATGCCATATATGCCTACATTGACCCCCGAAACCACCCCAACTGATCGGCATATATGCCAGTCCCATGGAGTGTTTGGGTCCTTTTCTTCGGCCCAGGCGAATCCCCGACACCGTGGATTGGCAGACCCTGCGGAGCCAACTCTTCCCGTCCTTCTTGGAGGCCACCCCCACTGCTCAAGGTGCGGTCGGGGCCGGAATCTGAACGGGGCCGGAAGCCGAGCGGGATCAACGGGTCCGAACGGGATGAACCGGTGTCCGCAGGTGTTGGATGAAGGGATGAATATGTTTGGATATGCTTGGTGAAGACTGCAGCGCTGGGCGTCATGATGCGTCATGATGCGTCATGAGAAGAAGGACATGTGGTGATTAGAGAGTTCCTTTGGGCATTGGCCAGGGGCTGGCCCGGCGACGGGAACAGACTCCCTCGGCTTGAATCGGCGGCGGACGGGTCGGACCCCGACCGTTTTCTTTGTTGGGCCAACATCGGAACAACCATGTCCTCCCGCTGTTGTTCCAGTTTGGTCCGCTGTTTCTTGGGATCCACAGGCTATATTGTAATGTATTTTATCTATATATATATATAATAATGTATTTTAATATATATATATATATGTTCGGACCCCGTTTGATAGAACAGTAAATGTCCTCTAAACATGTATTGAAAACAGTTCCTATCCATATATTCGGGGACCACTATAGAAACAATCCCGAATCCGTAGATACCTGATACATTCCTGGATTAATACTGGTGATTTTCTTAGAACCTTGGGTGATTTTTGTAACACACTCCAAGATCTACCTAGGTCCTCGGTGATCCGAAAGACAAAAGATCACAGTTCACTTACTTCTGTTTTTTTCTCACGGGCGCCCATCAATGAGCCACAAGATGCTACCATAGCCCACCAAAAACAAGAAACAACACAGAAAACCAGAACAACTATTTCTCGATGTCATTCTAACCACTGACACTGGACCGCAGGGTACTTGAAGCAATCCGCCACCCGTATCAACTTCGTCGCAGAGAAGATCATCCTTCACTCTTTGGCTCCTCAGTTTGCTTAAGCAGTCGGTTTTTTTTTCCATCGGCGAGGGGAAGATGATGGAGTAATCCCCAAAATTGATGTCAATCAATCATTGCACTCATATTTGAACCTGGATTCTGGATGATTGAAATGTTTGAACACAATATTTGAACGATGTCTATGCTTTGGGAACCACAAAACAACCGAGCTTGTGCTCCTGCCCTTCCCTCAAAAGGGAGCTTTTGTGATGGTCAATTGCGAAATGAGGCCCCTGTCTTACCAAGGCAACATGAATAGATAATAAGATAGGAAGATGCAATAGATACCACGTGCAGAATGCACCTTGTTTGCCAGGTTTGTATAGTTAGTGTTCAATAGTTTATCAATGTCAAGCTTTTAAGTTTGAAATAGTTTGAGCATGTGTGCAAGAATGAGTTTGCCGTTTGCGCTTGTGAAGACAGAGAGCACGTGAAGCTAGATCCCCCATGTTGGACCGCACAACACCAAAAGGATCCACCTGGTATTAGAGTGGTTCCTCATCCAGACGCTCCATATATGGAATACATGCTTATATTGAGGCCTGAAGACTCCGGCCCTATATAAGTGATCGGCTGTAGGCCATGGAGTGAAACAGGGATGCTTCGAGTCTTGAACTGCCCCAAACTTGTGCACCTTACTACGGGAGACTGACTACCCACCCAGACGCCACCCTGGACCCTCAGGTGTGGAGGTGTGGAGGGATCTCAGGTCTCGAATCCTGCGTTTGGAGTGTTTGGGCAGGTATCTTGCAATGCCTGACATGGGGGGACATGTCCTCCATGTATTTCCATGTATGTCCAAGACATTGTTTGCTTACTCTTGCTGTACGTATGACGAATACCTCAACCTATTAGAACCTAGAACCTATACATCTTAAATCTACAACATCCATCTTACATACCCTCCGACTTGTCTTTGCAAAGCCCATGCCCGGGCGCCCACCTCAAAGGAGATCTATCGGGCGCCACGGAAGATGGTGGAGGAGATCTCGGCCGTCGGCTTGCGCCACGTCGGCCGCTCGGGCGGATGTCTGAATCGGTGTCGGGAAGTCCCCATGGTGTCGGGGCGCCAGGGAGGCGGGGTGTTTTGGAAAGTTGGGAAAAATACAGGAGTTGTTTGTATTTTGTCCCTTCTATTTTTGGTTTTGGTTGCTTTTCTTACGCAAAGGGCCTTCAAGGGCAATGACATTCGATTGAATTTGTGTTAGACATCGTCAGCAGCATTTTCGCATGGCACCTGAAGCATGGTGGTGGTTTCAGCCACGAGGATTTGGTGAATGGAGGGGACATGTCTGGTGCTTGACCATCTGGATCCGAAACTTCTCATGGTTTCTCTCCGTTCCTAAAGACCCGGTCACCGGTCTCCAGTTCCGCGCGGTGTCTCGTCTCAGGCTATGGAATCCCCACGGAGATTTTCCCGCCATTTGTCACGTGCTCGGTGGACCTGCTGAAGTCCTTAACACAGGCCACCGACGTCCCTGCGCGGACGGAAGCGATTTTTGGGGAGTCAGAGGGAAGTCGATGGAGCAACACATGGGAAGTCCAGACATCAGGATGACTATGTGAAGCGCAGATGTGGAAGGATTGAGCGGTTTCTTTCGCTTTGCAACAAGAGTGTTAACCAAGGGATTGACTGGGTGTGCCCCAGGGGTGTGAACCAAAGGTGAGCATCCACCTGAGCCTATTATGCACCAGCCCACGCCCCAAGGGGACATGCACCATCAGCACCGCCACTCTTTCATTGTTGCTTTTCTTTTTTAAGGCGGTGGTGTGGCCGTGTTGCATCATCTTCCTTCTCTCGATCAATGGGAGACCATCGGCCCCATCCCGCTGTCATCCTCCTTCCTTCCATCATCATCCCCTAGGGATCCAGTCGTACCTCCTCAAAAGGTACGACTGGACCCTCCTGGGTGCGACTGGATCCTTAGGGATCCATTTGCATCCGCATCCCTTTTGCCACACGACGAGTCACACTGGGCTTTTCGGCCCTGTGGCCAGGACGAGCTCACCATCGAGGCTTTCCGCTGGTCGCTCTCGCTGATGTCGAAGATCATGATGCGCACCATCTCCGAAGGCTCGAGAATTCCGCAACTGAAGAACAATGCCTGGACAGACGCTGCTGTTCTCCCTCGGGTTATCGTAGGGGCTCATGTGAGGTGGTTGCTTTGTGGCCACCTTTGTGGCCACATGTGGCCATGGCTCGCCAGGCTCGACACTGGTGATGAAGGCCATCAATGCCAACCAGAAGTTTCAACTGAAAAGGGCCATGGAAGCCCCTCGGACATGAAAAACACATGGAAGGACAGGAAACCACCCACCGACCCTGGTGGCATGAGAAAGATGAAGGGAACATTATATTCCGGCATGGTATGTTCCCACTCTAGACTATTCTAGACTCCATAAACAGTATATAAGTCTGTTTTTGGCCTGCGACTTTTCTGGTTAGTGAACTTTTGCAAACTTGTTGTACGGATCAAACGGTGTGTCAGCAAAAGTTGAGGGGATTGATTATCATTGGACATGTGTACAGCGGACATGACGCTCAAATCAAGGCGGTGAATGGAAGATGGAGTCTCAACCAAAATGTTCAGGTCCATGTACCGGTCCCAACCAAGCACCCCAACAATCACCCAAGCATCTTCCGTTTCTCGTCCCATCATGTCCCGTCTCGCTCGCTTGGCGAGACGGTCGGCCTGGGTCCTTCTCGACTCGAGGTCTGTGCGCGAGGGCAAAGGGCCAAGGAGCTGCTGAACATCACCGCAGGGTCGCAATCCATCTCGCCCTTCTACTGGGCCATTGTGCCTTTACGGCACGCCGACGCCTTCAACGGCCGTCAACGGGCGCGTTTTCTTTGGGCGGGCGGGGCCACAAGGGTGAGAGGATCGGCGACGGCGGTGGGCGTTTCATTGGTGTTTTCGTCCTGATGACGTCCTGTCATCGTCTCATGGTCCTGATGTTGGTGTGTCATCCCATGATCAGAGACAACAGTCGCCAGCAGACAATCAATTCTCCTGGCAAACTGTAGAGGCGCACTTTGTTTTCTTCCCACGTTCGCGATTTGAGGGCGACTCAGCCTAAGCATGTCCTGACAGCTGCATGTCCTCGCACCTTTCATGAGATGTCACCCATGAAGATCTGTCATCAGACATGAAGCTTCACTGCAGCTTTATAAAGGTCGCCCATGGTCGCTTCACCAGCTTCGCCAGCGCGAAAAGAGCGTGCGCGCGCCAAAAAAACACCACCTGGAGCGCGGATGAGCGCGCTCTCCACGTCTCTCAGGACAGTGGTGCACTGATGTGCGCAGAAGTCATGTTGGAGGATTTGCTCACGATCCGTGCGGACCGGGATGTCGGGGGACCGAGAAGATGCTGTTTTCAGCTGCTGCAAACATGATGTGGACACTGCACTAGAGGTCTGGAGAAGTCCCCCTGTTCAATTGCGCTGTTTGTTGGCATGCTTAGCGGCATTCCTGTCAGGTCTACTACTACGGAGTGGATGCACTTTTCACCACACATACGGAATGCGTTCAGAAGATCTGCGCACGAGCACCCACCTTGATGCCGACTTTATTAGATGCTTGGCCATCCGGAGGGCTTGGGGACCACAGGTCCCCGAAGACTGGTGGATGGGACTCTTGATGTTTCTAGACGGTTCGTATGTTTTTTTGCATCAGATGACTTCATAATGTATCCTCACACCCATGAACCCAGGACGAAATGGTGACAGGTGTACTGTATACTGATTAAGCACTACTCTATTTGCAGGCATCTATTATATGCATATATATTCTATTGATTATCTGATTCAAATGCTTCTTTTGCTTCCCTCTCCATGTTGTGGGGATGATCACAATGATCCGAGGAGAATCTCAGAAGTGTTTGGAATTTGGAATCACAAGATTTGTAGGTAAGCTAGGAAGGACCCAATGGACAATGACATATGGCGCACAAATCTTGTGTGGTGCCCTTTTTTTGCTGGAGATCACATCCAGCATTCATCCGTTTCTAAGGATGGCTTGGTGTGGCGTTCTCGGCAGACCAAAGAAGGTATGCGCCGAGTGAACTACTACGTGAAGCATTTGATCCAGGACCCCTCCGACAGCTAATAGCGTCAGTGAGAGCACTGGATTGCAGCACACCAGCTAATTCCCAGCTGTTGTACCATTTCGGTAACACATGTGAACTAACATTCCTTTTCAGAACCCGTTTCTCGCGTGCACAAAGTCACGTCACAGAGTTTCTCGGGCGCCGGGCAGCGCGTGTTCAATGGTCGCAATGGCAGTGTTTGCCTCCGTTGGAGAAGCGTTTTGTCCATTAAGAGCCGTTTGGCGCACGGGGCCGTGCAATCCTTTCGCAACAGCCTTTGGGCATCGTTTTGAGCTTCCAACGTTCGACCGAAAAGGAACGATGCACTCACCAAGCCTGTTTCAGAGATGTCGGTGATCGTCGATAGTTTCCCATCGAAGACTCCAGGATTTGGACGGCTACTTCAGCTCCAACTTGGAATGGTTGGTGGAGCACAGTGATCCCAAGCGCCTGGATTGATTTGGATCGACAGGGACCTGGATGGGCTCCAAGTTGGGGTGGTTCGTTCAAATCCGAGAAGCGAACTGATGATGGGGAATGATGGGGATATTGTTTTTGTTAGTCGAACTCTGCCCAAGACCGCCTAACATCAAGAAGTTCTGGGGGGATTCTGTTCTTTGGATACAAGAAGGTGGCACAACCCCGCGAGTTTCCAAAGGAATTCTCAGGTCCAGGTCAAAACACAGAGAAACAAACAATCAATCAAACAAACAAACAAACAAACACACACACAATTTGATTGCTGCTTGCCCGGGCCTTGGGTGCATCTTCTTTGAGTTTCATTTAATTTCCTCTAGTTTCTCGCTACTGCTCACACAGCAGTCTTGACTGATGGCAATGGAGAGAGAGAGAGAGAAACAAAGAAAGAACACACACACACACATACACCGATATTACATACCTCTTACTGCACACACCTGTTCCACACCTTATAAGTACCGTATCATCTCGTCTCGTCCCTTTTCGACCAGCCCGGGCCCGAGCAGCCGCTGTCGCATCGTCTGAGGATGGTCCGACATCCCACAGTGATCCTCTTCTCCGATGTGTTGTGGCACCGCCTGGCCAGTCTTTCGGTGGAGTGAGAAGAGTGGTAGAATATTTTTAGGTATATAATATTAGCTATAATTATATACCACTAATATCCACTAATTTAATATTACTAGTGGTATATACCACCACTCTTTGGTAATATTAGTGTATAGTTATGACATATATGGAGTCTAGAGCCTCTGAAGATCTTAGAAGCATCGAGGTGGGAGCCAGACCAAGCCAAATTGGTTTCGTGTGCCGTGTGTTTTGTTTTAGGGGATGGCGGGTGGGGTTGATTCATGTTGATTCCTTTTCCCGATTTGTGGAGGGGTATTTATTCCGTTCACCCAAGTAGGGGCCCCTGAAAGCATCAATACTGACTGGAGCTTAGTAGGGAATAAGGGAATGAGCCCCCAATAGAGATTCTATTGGATCCATTCCCTCATTCCCTGCTAAGCACCAGTCAGAATACGTTAGTCTTTCTCTTTGTCAGAATGTGCTTTTGTTCTGTCCTTGACCACACGCCCAGAAATCGGTGATTGTGGAAATGCTTCACCAATAGAGCGGCGCTGTCACCTGACCTGTTAGGTTACAAGTTCATTCTCTCCAAGATCTACTTCCTCCTCATCTTGGGCGTTTCTCGGAGAACAAAACCAGCCGAGAACGCCACAGGATCGGCTCGGACCCGTGAGTCGCCGGAGCGATCCCGGTGCTCCATAGACGGTTTGGTTTCAGCCGGCCATAGGAACCCGTGGGCTTGGGAAGTGCTGTTTTTCGGCAAGTGCTGCGTAGAGTACAGTCAAAAGACCCGTGATGTAGCAGCATGGTCGAATCCCAAGGGCTGTTCAGTGGCCCAAGCTTGTTCTTACATGTTGCACACAGAAATGGATTCCGATTGATCATTTGTGATGATGTTTTTTGCGCGACTTTCTGAGACCAGCAGAACTCCTACGATCCCAGAATACCATGCCATACACTATAATAGCTAATCTATATCAATATCTAGCATGTATATCATTATGGATCTGGCTATAGTAGCTATATCATGCTATATCTAGCTATTTGGAGGCTCCAGGCTCCAATCCTCCAGAATCCTCGCGCCCCAGAATCCTCGGCCGCCGAGGTGTTCATCGTCGGCCAAGCCGCGTTGTTAAACCACCGCCTCGAGGAGACGCAGACCGTGGCGGAGGACGCCGCCGCTCGATGGGGTGGAACACCGGGCCGCAGCGCGGTCCGACCGGTCGTTTGTCCCAGTTGCCCCTTCCTTAAAGACTGGACACCACGCCTAGCATCCAAATGAAATCATTTCAATTCATTTAAGATATTTTAAGAGTCTATATTAGTAAATGACTGCGTCTAATTACTCTGGTCGGTTTTTGTGGCCATGTTCCAGCCTTCCGTTGAGAGAACCAGTTATTTGTAAACTCAAGAGCGCGTTAGAGACTCAAAACCAATGGAACACAAACATGAGTGGCAAAATGATGAATCCATGAGTGTATGGGGCTCTTCCTTTGTTGCAGGGTAATGGTTCACAAAAAGCTACAACCCACGTCACGTCCTTCTACCCTGGTCAGCCGGTCAAGCACGTTTTTCTACACCAGAGCAGATCCAGTTCAAGACTGGCCCAGGTGATGTTTGGCTGCCGGATTTTCAACTACATTTTTTCGATGTGCAAGTTGATCATCAGCCACTTGGACCGAAAGCACTCCCCATTAGACCGAAAGCACGTTCGTTCGCCCGGCGTGGTGGCTGCGCACGACCCTGGAAGTTTGGCCGGTTGGTGTTGGAACAATCCCTGGGAACAAAGTGACACGCAAAGACACGCTGACGATGACATGTTGTGAACACATTGAATACATTTTCACACTCACTTTAACAGACCATAGATGTGCAACCCTGGAGTTGAGCTTTGGAGCATTTAGACATATTTGGACCTCGTGCACATTGAACCTTTCTCATGATTCGATTCTCATGTGCAATATTTGCATTGCTGGAGAGTACTGTCCAGCTGAGTTACAACGCTCCTCAACTGGATCACGCTGGCTCTTATTGGCATAGTCTGGCAATTTCTACCAATATGAGGTCTATGTTTTGAAGGATGGCAATAGGGCAGCTTATGATATGCAGTGGCTCTCCTCAATGATCCTGAAGTGTAAGAGAAGCATTGAAGTAAGTGGGAGGAACCTGAAGATGAGATCGCAGCTCCCCACTTCTTCAATTGCATTGTAGAAAAGATTGACTCGTTGACCAAACAACAACGACAACAACAACCACAGCAACACTAACAACCAACAACAACAACATCAACATACTGATACAGATACATACTGATCATGGCACTTAAAGACCGGTCCACAAGAAGTTGAAAAAGCACCCCCTTTGCAGCAGTCAGGCGTCCGAACCCATCGGTTCACCTTACAGCTCCATGGACACTGAGGTCAAGCCAATAAGACCTACCGAGACCTTGGCAACGGGAACGTGCGGCGTGGCTCGGGCGCAACGCGACGCGGGGGGGGTTCTTTGCACCGCAGAACAGGTGAACATATGGAGTTAGAACCTACGTATGTTTTTTTGGGGGGGGAGGAGGAGTGAGAAACTCTGACGCAGTCTAGCAAGACGTGCAGATTGTTTTGCTCAAGTAGCTGAATCATGACATATCATTGAGCCTGCGCGTATAGATGCCTCACGACACTTTGCGCGTTTTCATGATGTCCAATGCATGTTTCAGGGTTACTTCGTGCTTCTTCGGAGCTACAGCCCAATCTGGAACGAGCATTCCTGAGTTAACAATGACAAGGTGGCCAAAGATTAACCCAGAGCAGCCCAGTACTGTATTTGTTTGCAATCCCTGCGTCCTACTGGTATTAATATGTCTATATTAAAATGTATTTTAAACCTTCAAGTGTTCTATGTGCTTGCTATCATTTGTTATCTCATTCACGATCCATGCTTTACTTTTTACACCATCTTGGAATGATAAACACAAGCCGCGGTTGAGGGCAACCAAAAAACTGGATACTTCATGTTACAGCCGAGACTCTCGGAAAATTCTTGTCATTCCAGATGGATCTGTAGAATTGAAGTCGGATGTGGCACCAACTCTTTGTGACTGGCCAGTCAAGACGCACGCCGTGACTCAGCGTGACTCGGCTCGATCTGAGATGTTTGCCGATGCCCCGTCCCGGCGTACCTGTTTGAGCTGCAAGAGACGCCTGGAGCAGTTTTTAGCGAAGAGAGCGGTTTGTGCCTTTTCCCTGTTTCTGGAAGAAATCTTTCCATCTATTCATATGTGTTTGACATTAATGCAATGATATATATATATATTAAATTATATATAATTACATATAAGTTACATATATGTTTACACATCAGGACTTGAACCTACTACCTCTAAACAGGCTTGCTTTGGGCAGCTGGACCCTTTTTGAGAAGTGGAGTTTTGTTTGCATAGAACGATTGCTCCACTTGAGACCAAGTCTTCAGTAGCTGTGCCACAGCTTCGTCATCATCCTTCTTGTCGCATTCCCCACAGCTGTCGATAGGTCCGATAGGGGTGCCACGTTTCAGTGATCTGAGGATGGCAAATGTCACCTTGTTGCTCATCCTTTTGGTGATGTGCAGCCAGGAGACCTTTGGAACTTGGACTACGAGTCCTCACGGGTCAACAGCCTCCTCAGGGGATGGCTGTAACCGCACCAGGTAAGCCTGGAACATCGTATCGATGGGCAAGTTGCGATCTCATGCGATGTCCTTCGGTGTAAGCATTGCATGGTCGGTAGTACGGTATCATCGATGTTTCTTGGGTGCGCATGGTTTTCCCAATCACCTGCATGGTCGGCCAACATCGGCAAGGCTTTTCCCAGTTTGCTGGTCAACAGAGTGTACAACCAGATGCTACCATTGGTGCATTGGTTTCAAATCTTCGTTGTGATTTGCCACCCGGGCGAATCAACTCCGAAGCAAGTACATTTGTGCACCGATTCCATAGGAAAGCTTGGCTTGGTAGACAGAGCTTCCTCCTATACGTGTTTGGTGGATCTCCTGTCGGACGTGTCCCTTGTCAAGATGTCACCACGGGCGTTCCTGGGATTTTACAAAATTTGCTGCGGCTGACTCCATTCCAAGCAGTACTGCATTCGTCATCAATGTTTATTAGTGGTCAGCGGTCACATTCATGTTACGCATCCATATTTCCAAGACGTGTATAGTTGGGGCGACAAACATGGAAAAGGGCAACATGCACCAAAGAATCTAGACAAAAAAATAGTTTGGTTATGATCAAGTTCGCACCAAAGAGGTTCCTCAGATATGATGAATGGTGTGACGGGGAGTTGTTGTGTGAGGCGGTATGTGTCCCCAGCGAAAAACAAGCGCGCCCAAAGCAGATTAACACTCTAAAGAGGTGTTGAACATGGTTGTTCTATTTCTTTGGGAACCACTGTTGTTTGACTATGAAGTACGTTTATTCTTAGTCACGAAAGGTAGCCCTTTAGGGGATACCTTGAGTTTGTCTTGCGAAGCAAGTGTTGGGACGTCCGGGTCTAATAATTGATCGCTCAATTCAG